TGTGTGTAAATGCTACATTTTCTTTATCCATTCATCTGTTATCTTGAATTGGCGTGATAATTCAGGCTAGCCTTGAACTTACTGTGTAGCCCACACTGGCCTCAAATTCACAGCAATCCTCCAGCCTCAGCCTTCCAAGCGCTGGGATTATAGGCATGCACCACCATACCCAGCAGAAAAGAGCATTTTGTAATTTGAAAATGAAAGCACTTTCTATCGTGACAAAGTATACATAAAATTTGCCCCTGGAGCCCTCTTTAAGTGTATGTCTCTGTGGCATTATATACGTTCACAAGTTGTGCAGTGGTGACCACTACCCACTTCAGAGCCTTTCTCGCCATCCCAAAGGGAAACTCTACCTACTAACACCTCCGCCCCATCCCTGGTAACTTCTGGTCTCCTTTCTGTTTCTAAACCTGACTCCTCCAGGGAGCCCACACAAGTGGAATCGTACCATGTCATGTATGTAACCTTTACATTAGCATATTTCACTTAGCATGATATTTTTAAGATTTCTCCATGTCAAAGCCTCTGTCCTTTGGAAGGCTGATATTCCATGGTATGTATATTACATTTCCTCTGTCTGCTGTGTGCTGATGGATTCTCGGGTTGCTTCCTTCTTCTGACTGTTTTGACGATGCTGCTGTGCACACTGGCATTCAAGTATCTGTTCAAGTCCCTGCTTTCCGTTCCTCTGGACGTACATGGACGTATACCTACAGGCTCAATGCTGGACCATTCCTGTGTCATTTCTTGGGAAACTGCCCAAGCCGCCCAGAGTTTTACATTCCCACCAGCAAGACCTGGGGTTCCAATTTCTCCACTGTCTCTCCGTTTCTGCCTTTTTCTTTTTACTACTCTCCCTTTCCCACTGACTGTTAATAAGCTCTGGGGGAAGGATGCTTTTAGATTCACAGAAAAGTTGAAGATAGTACACAGTTCCCATGTACTCGCCAGCCCACACCCCCCCCAGCGAAAAGACGGGTTCAGTACCAGTGACTAAAGGGCACACTGGTTCAGATGTCACCAGATTCCCATTTTGGTCCCGTCTCAGGCACTGTCCTGGTCACTGCGGCACACTCTCCTTCGCCCTTGCCTAAAGGAGGGGAGGCTTGTTTCGGTTCATGGTTTCAGCCCAGGGGTTTCAGTTGCTGGCTCCCAGGCAGAAGGAGGCTGGCACAGGGGCAGGGCGGAGGCACAAACGCTCCTGTGGGGCGGCCAGAAGCAGAGTGGGAAGGGAGGAGCAGGGGTGGGAGACCCCAGTGACAGCCTCTTGGCCCCACCTCCTAACAGCGCATTGGGCTGTAGCTCCCTACTATCGAAGCACCTTCCAAAGGCCCTCTCATGAGCTCAGTGAGGCTTGAGGGACAGTTTCCTGCTGGCCTGGCTGCACAGACCTATGGGACTGAGGCTCTGGGCTCAGGATGCCCTGGCCCGGGGACTCCCGGCACTCTGGGCCCTGCAGGTCAGTGATCAGAGTCAGTGCCGCCCTCCTCCAGAAGCGGGTGGCCCGGCAGGTTCCAGCTTTTTGACTGTGTTTGAAAATCTCCAGGTACTGGTGGCCTCAAGCTGGGGGCCTGGAGCTCACAGGCTTAGTCTTCTCCCAGCCCTGAGAGGCTGCAAGGCCCACGGTGAGGGGCGTGGCCTGAGCTGCCAGTCTGTTTCCCTTTCTCTCACTTGGGAGCCCGGAAGGCTGAGGGTGGGGGACGGAGCTCAGGTCGAGTCCGGAGACAGAGGTGAGCTCAGTGCCCTCTGCCCTCCTTCTCTTTTCCAGGCTTCTGGAAAAATGATATCTGTCCACTCCACAGCCTCTCTCAGGACCCCATTTGGTTTTGTTTTTTGCAGTACTAGGGGATGAACCCAGTGCCTTCACACTGAGCCACACCCTTAGCCTTTCTCTAATTTTTCATTTGTGACAGGGTCTTGCTGTGTCACCAAGTTGCACCAGGTGGGGCTCAAACTTTTTGATCCTTCTGTCTCAGGCTTCCAGAGCACTGAGATAACAGGCATGCACCTGACTGCAGATGTAATTAAGCTCAAGATCTTGTGATGAGATCACCCTGGATTTCGAGTTGACCCTAAATTCAATGGCAAGGGTCCTTAGAGAGTCAGAAAAGGAGGCAGCACAGAGACACAGGGACAAGAGCCGTGAAGATGGGACAGAGACTGGCCACAAGCCAAGGAATGGCAGCAGGAGTTAGGAGCAAGGCGTGGAAGAGCATCTCTCTCAGAGCCTCTGATGAGAAGAAGTTCTGTCAGCACTGTAATTTGGACTCCCAGCTCTACCTCCTCCAGTTTGGACTTCCGTGACAAAACCAAGGGCTTCTTAAACAGCCGGACTTCATTCCCTCACATGCTGGTCCCGGCTTGAAGATGGCCACTTTCTTGTTGTGTCCTCAAGGAGGAGAGGGAGTGAGGGAAGGACGGAAGGAGGGACAGAGGGGTTTAATATCCTCAGATCCCATGATGAAAGCTCACCCCAACATAACTATTGTTTACTTTATCAAAATAAAATAAGCTCATCCACTGGGCCACACAGGGCCAGCGGGGGCTGGTCCCTCACCGGACACCTCTAGGTGAGGACGGATCCCAGCTCCGCTTTCCCTGCTCCTCTTTCCTCGGTGGCCTTCTGGAGGCTGAAGGGAAATCTTCGCAGATGGCAGAGCGAATTTTGGGCTGAAGGCAGCTGTGGCGTCACTGCATCCACTCATGGCCGTGCTGGCCTCCTGCAGTGGGGGCAGTGGGGACATGTGGGAGGGCATCGCCTTGGGGAGAAACGGATTCTCCAGTGAAACAGAAACAGCAGGAGAGCGGGTGTTCCACCGGGCTTGTGACCAACCAGCTGTGTGACCGGGGAGGCCACTTGCCTGGGTCCTGGTTCCCTTGTCCACGAAATGAAGAAGCGGATGAAGTGATTTGTCCCTCTCTTCTCTGACTCTACAGTCAGTGTTTGGGTGCTGGATTTGCTCGTTCCTTAAAAATGTAACAGAACACGAAATGTGCTATTTTAACCATTTTTAAGTGTATAGCTCTGTGGCGCAGTGTGTTCACGATGTGCCACCATCACCCCCACCCATAGGGAGCTCTCTGGAGCTCTTTTACCTTCCCGTGGTGAAACCCTGTAAACACTAACCCCGCCCCCTCTGCCCCAGCTCCCCTCAACTCTACTGTTTCTGCCTCTGTGAATCCTGCAGTATTTGTGTCAGGCTTATTTGCATCACACTCATCCTCTCAGCGGGATGTTTTTGGAGGTTTGTCCATGTCGCAGCCTGCATTTCCTTCCATTTTAAGGCTTGCATTGAATATCGTGTGTCTATACCATGCTTTGTTTATTCATCCATCAATGGACATAAGGGATGTTTCCTCCTTTTCACTATTTGCTGCTATGAACATTGGTGTTCAGATACCTACTCAAGTCCCTGCTCTCAGTTCCTCTGGATGTGCACCTGGGAGTGGAACTGTTTGATCATATGGTAATTCTGCGCGTAAATTTCTTAGAAACTGCCAAGCTATTTTCTCTTTAAAATGGGAAAACTGGCTTATTCTTTCTCTTTTTCTTTTTGGTAGTGGGGTTAGATTCCAGGACCTTACACATAGTAGGCAAGGGTTCAACCACTAAGCTACACTCCCAGCTATTTAATTTTTTTTTTTATATAGGAGCTCACTCTGAAGTGCAGGCTGTTCTTGAACTCATGGTCTTCCCACCTTAGCCTCCCAAATGGCTGGAGTTACAGGCATGCACCATCTTGGATGGCAGAACACAGTCTTACACTTAGATGAGCAGACCAGCCATGCCACAGGGGTGTGCGGGGTGTGCAACAGAGAGGTGTGCTGAGCGCCCCTCCCCCAGTGGCACCGTGTACTGCTGTGCCCTGGAGCTGACCCAGGTTAGATGTATTCTTGTAATCTGAAGGCGGTTCTGAGCCCCGACCCACACAGTTTCTCATTCATGTTGAAATTTAAGGTTTGCTATGGAGAGAAGAAATAATTTCCTCTCTGATTTCTTCAGAATTTTAGAAATGGTGCCGATATGTACATGTATTTCTGCTTTCGTTTATTGGACTCGAACCCCAGACGTGATTGGTATAAGGACTGAGAACAAAAGGCCGGAGTTTGATAGGGGGGAGAAAGATGGCTGACATCAAGACCGAGGCTCTCAGAAACACCGGCCAGAGCCCCGCGTGGGCCCTGTGCGCCGGTGACCAGGGGAGCGAGCGAGACGGCTGACCCAGCCCAGAGTCATTTGGAATCTTAGGGTCTGGCTCCAAAGCCCAGTTTTATCACTTCTAGCTTGAGCAAAAAACTAACCTCCCTGGATTCAGTTTCCTTATTCGTAAAATAGGGACATTACGGGATAATAAAACCGTATAGGTGAGGTGATCCCCATGGTGTCTGATACTCATATCAAAGCCATGACCTGTTTCCTTCAAACCCAGGTGCCCTGTAAAGGTGCACATTGGAGGTCAGCAATACAGTGCACACTTAGCACTCATAGGGCCCTGGATTCAATCCTCAGCAACCCCCACAAAAAAACCCACCTGAGGTAACTTTCCCTACCTCCCACTTCTAGAAATTGACTTAAAACATGAGCTTCTGATGCTATTTGTATTTTGGTGGCCATTCTGAAGTTACTTTATTTCTTTCTTATTGTTTATTCTCTCCCCAAACCAAATGCTTTATCTTTGGGGGCCTGGTAGGGAGGCTTTCCTAGTAGGTACAAAACTCATACTTTAGCAAAGGACACTGCTCTAGCAATTAGCAGTGACTGCCGCACAAAACCTTGGTTACCTGGGCCAAACTTCCCCAGAGCTGTTTGGAAAAAAACTCTTGTTAGGGCCAAAGGTCCTGAGTTTGGTCCCCTGTACGAAAAACAAGAAAGAAAGAAAGAAAGAGAGAGAGAGAGAGAGAGAGAGAGAGAGAGAGAGAGAGAGAAAGAAAAGAAGAAGGAAGGAAGGAAGGAAGGAAGGAAAGAAAGAAGGAAAGAAAGAAAGAGGGGGGGAGGGGAGGGGAGAGGAGAGGAGAGGAAAGAAAAGAAAAGAACACTTCTTTTGAAGATGCAGTTTCAATCACTAAAAAGGGTTCATTCTTCTGGGGGACACAGCAGGACTGAAGGAAAAAGCAAAGGGGAAAACACTTCTGGCCCCAACCTTAGATAAATACAAGTCATCATCATTAATAAGAAGTACAGAAGGTTGAGAGCTTGGTGAAAGAGTGTATCAAAGCAGGCAGATCCTCCTCCTTCCTGCCTTGGTCTGCTCAGGCTGGTCTTGGCCACCAGCTCATCCTTGCTGGTTTAATTCAATGAGCCGGCCTGCAAACACAGCCAGCGTTCCGATGAGACAGACCAGCATGAAGACCGCGAGGAGAATGTGGTCCATCACCATCGCCACGTACTTCCACTCCTCGGCCGCCTGCGGGAGGAGAATGTTAGACAGAGCCCCAGAAGTGGGCATGGGCCTGCCCTGCTGTTCACCCTCTGTGGCCCTTCAGTGGTGATCTTCAGTTTTTAGGATAATTATTCACATCATGATCAGTGACTGATGTGGCCCAGAGGCGATCGCTAAGGCACATGTGAGCTCAGTAGCTGTGCCCTGAAAGCCACCCTTCCTGACAAGCCAAAGCCTCCCATCCAGGCTCGTGTGTTTGATCACTGAAACCCAGAGGTGAGATTTCCAGCCACAAAGCTTACGTTATTGGATTCCTGGTCTGACTTCATGGTCTCTGCGATGTATTTGACACCTTCGATGGCACTTTTCACCTCGGGGTGTTTGATCAGCGGGGAGTGGAATCCCATGGGAGGAGGCCCTGGCTTCCCAGAAATGTCAGAAATATCAATGTCTTCTGTGAAAATCTTTTTTTCTTGTTTGTCTCTGGATGGTCTTTTCATCGTGGAGAAAAACATTATATTTGGGATCGTGTCGATAAAAACCTAACCAAAAAAAAAAAATCCACGAATGAGAATTGTCGTCATCATATGCAAGCATCAGACTGTCCTTGAATATCAATGTGGTGTTGGCCAAGTCATTCTCTGCATCTCTAGGCCTCTACTTCCTTGTCTTTAAAACAAAACAATTGTGCTAGTTCTTGATGATTCCCTGTGGAGTGTGAAATCGCCTTGGGCTGGTGACGATTCTGTAATGTGAGCAGTTTGCCACTGGAGGGAGCCCGTGCACAGCCAGAGACCTCGCAAGACACCAATGGCGCTTATATTAAGCTTCAAAAGCCCCCGTAGACAATAGAAAGGTTCTAGCAATGTGTCTTGAAGAACATGTGATTAAAGAAAGGACTCCTCTGCCTCAAATACAGTCCCAAAATACCTAAACTGTTCTCTGTTTCTTGTGCCTGAAGAAAATGCAGCAAAGGTATTGTCAGGAGTCATCTAACAGTCCTTATAGAAATAGGACTGTTAATCTAGGAAAAAGAAGACATTGTCAGCCACAGTTTAGTGTTTTCCTAGCATGTATGAGGCCTTAGGTTTTATCCCCTGGCCCCCAGCACCACACAAAAAGAAAAAAAAAGGAGGAAAAGGGGGGATATATTTGAAATGTTAACACATTTTAAAATTCAGCAATGTAAATATTTGAGACTCAGTTCCTCACTGCCATTCACTTTCTGACGCTCTACTCAAGCCCTCTTCCATCTTTAGTCCCTATTCTGTTCTCAGCTGATGATCTTACCAGCAAAAATAAGCCAGTCTCTTCACAAACTGGAAGCCACACAAACAGAAATCTTAAGAATGGCACAGCATAAAAAGGGACTTGATAATCTCCGATCAAAGATATTCTTCAAAATTGGAAAAGGTGTTATTTGGAAAGGGTGTTATTAATTCTGTTTGCTTCTTCCTTCCTGGGAAGGCTATGTAAATTATCCTTCGAAGGAAGCCAAGGGATAACAGGGCTTCCCCAAACACACTGAAGCCCTGAAAGGACTTTCAGTTCCTCCGTGTGCCAGGTGTCAGCGGAGCTGCACTGGCTGTGTCCAGGCGGAGACCGGGGGTCCTCACCGTGGAGGTTGGCACTCACCTTCCGCACCCACTCGGGCATGACGTGGGTGCTGGGAGAGCGGTGATGCGTGTTGATGACGACGACGGTGATGATGATAGAGGCGATGACGAACACCATGGTGAACAACATGTATTTCCCAATCAAGGGCACAGCGCTGGAGGTGGAAGGGATCAGCTCCACAATGACCAGAAGGAACACGGTCAGTGACAGCAAGACAGAGATGCTCAGTGTCATCTTCTCCCCTGGAGAGACAAAAAGAAGAAACACAACAACCCACCCATTGAAGTGTTGAAATCCTAAACCCTGGAACCTCAGAATGTGACAGTATTTAGAGACGGAGCCTTTCAAAATGCAATTAAAATGAGGTCAGGCGGGGGTCCTTGATCCGAGATGACTGGTGTGCTTATAAAAGGAAATGGGGACACAGACATGCACAGGAAAGACCATGCAAGGACACAGGGTGGAGGTGGTCATCTGCAAGCTAAGGTCAGAAGAAACCAACCCTGTCCCCACCTTGACCTCAGCTAACAGCCTCCAGGAAGTGTGACAATGTAACTTTCTGTGTAAGCCACCCAAACCATGGTACTTCATTAGGCAGCTCTTCAAACCCATTTACCAGTGAGACTCTGAGTGGCTTGTTCTCAAAATATTATTCTGAAGACTCTCCTGCAGAATTTCCTGCCTGACCTTAGCACCTTAACTCAGGACAGAAACAGATAGCTACTTCATCTGATGGCCTAGAGTTGTGTTTCTTGGAGGAGCTCAGGAAACCAAGTGGAGTCTGGGTTGGCAAGCTAGAACATTCTGCATCCAAATGCATTAAACCTTGTAAAGCTCAACCTCAGCCTAGTCTGTTTCACAACAGGTGGACGGGCAGCCTGAAGGTAAACACTCACTAAGGGAACAAACTGTGGGACCAAAACCAAGAACAAAATCAGCTGGGCCAAGGAGTTGTCCTGAGCATCCTGAGTAATCTTCTGATCTCCCTGCTCCTTTTTCACTTTTATCTAAGAGGAAGTTTGTTTTCTCACTTATTCCTCGCTTTGTTTTGTTTTCATATTAATGGATCAGGGATCCCTGCCACCCCTTTTTCTTCAGGCCCCGGCTTTCAGAAGTCCTGGCTGAGCAGGCTTGGCTGCAGGAAGTTTAGGGCTGAAGGGTGCTGGGGTGTCCTTGTGGGTTCTCACTATTTAGAATGCGGTAGAGGACCCTTGGAAGTAACTGTCCTGCGGCCAGTCTTGCTGCTGGTGTTCCTGGGAAACCCTCGTGTTGTCCTGCTTTCTGGATTGGAGCTTTCCCCATTCTGGGTGCTGCCAGATGCCAGAGAAGAGGTACAGTTGGTTGGTTGTTTCTGTGCATTCTGCATCCAAGAATTCAACTGACTTTGGATGGAAAATATTTGAAAAAATAAAATTGTACCTGTACTGAACATGTACAGACTTTTACCTTGTCATTATCCCTTAAACTGGTGACGGTGAACCTTTTAGAGCTTTCAATGATAACAGCCACTGCCCTAAAAATAGAGTATAATAACTATTTACATAGCATTTACATTGTGCTAAGTCCAATAGGTGATCTAGAGGTGCTTTAGTGTACATGAGAGGATAGGCATGGGTTATGTGCGAATACCACCCTCTTTTATATAAGGGACTTGAGCACACGTGGATTGCGGCATCTGTGGAGGTCCTGGGACCAGTCCCCCACAAATACTGAAGGCAACTGTGAATACAGGACACAAAGTGGATGCAAACAAGAAGTTGCCCGTTCTCACCCGGTGGGTGGGAAGCACACTCTTCCCATATTCTCTGTACTCCTGTCACATAACACTTGCTCAGCGCCTATTTTTTGAATGATTGAGCAATTTCTTTCCTTGTTGGATATAAACTCTTGTGGCTTTTAAAAATCATTTTGATAAAATTGCTACCTGTCATGAATTTGCAGGCTGTCTTTCTTTTTTCCCTACTTGACTGCCATAAACTGTTTATGAGTAGGGACCTGCTGGTGGGCATATGGGTCCCCTTCCTCCCTTCTGCTAGGTTGTTGGTGTCTGATGCAATTATATCACAGGTGTGAGTCCTCAGTAGCAGGTAAGTAAGTTGTCCAGGCTGACATGTGAGGAAGAACTGCCACTTGGGAAGCATGGTCTCGGGGGTACAGTCACTGCCATCTGGAAAACAGATCGCAGAAGCTCCTTTCAAGTGGCAGGCAGTGTGTAAAGGAGCAAGAGCCGGAATAGTCAGTATACAGGAAGTGATGTCATAGGGAAGGGACAGGGAGAGTCTGGTCATGTGGGCACATTTCTGGGCCCACAGTTGGTACTGAGCAAACGGGTTGGTAGTTAATTCCTTTGAACTGGACTGAGCCAGGAGTGGGCATCTTTAGGGTCTGCTCTCAAGGTCTGTGCGGCTGTGAGCCCCGCCCACATCACTCTCGCCCCTCGCGTGGCCACCCGGTGAGGGTGCCCTTCCTCTGATGATGATGGGGTCCGTGTGCCCTGATTGTCAGCACACGATTATTTCTGGCTCATCCTAAAATAGCAGCAGCCGCCATGGCAACTGCGCCCACCTGAATCTGTGGGCAGGTAGAACACCAGGCTGGTTAGGAAGGAGAAGAGCAAGCAGGGAATGATGACATTGACAATGAAGTAGAGAGGCAGGCGCTGCATGACGAAGTGGTAGGTGATGTCCAGGTAGGGGGTGTTGGGGCAGCAGGAGTAGAACACCCAGTGCTTCCAGCCCCGGGACTCCTTGATCACCCATTCCCCGCTCTCCATGAAGTTGCTCAGGTCTGGCTGGTCGCTCTCCTGAGAAAGAAAGGAGGTGCTTTAGTGTACAGCTGAGTCACCCTGCAGAGGGCAGGGCTTGTAATCAGCAGCAATAAGACCATCAATCGTCTCCAGTCCGGTGGGTCACAGACTGGAAAGGACCCTGGGCCATTACAGATTTGGGGCCTTAGTTTCCTGCTGTATAACACTGGAGGTCTTGGACTATGACAGTTTTCATTTTGGCTCTGTGTTTGAGTCACCTGGGTGCATTAAAATATATTGGTGCTCTTGTGCCACCTAGGACAGATCAAATCAGACTTGAGGCAGTGCTGAGCATAGAAAATTCACTTGAATGCCTCATTCTCATGTGTACCGCATAAAGAACCCTTCCCACCCACTGAGAACCATCAAACTAGGTGATTCTAACTGGTCCTGAGAGCTGACAGTTATCCAGGAGCACTGGACCCAAGTCACCTTCCCTGAGAGCAGCTCCTCGTGCAGTCACCACTCACCGGGTAGATGGCCACCACCGAGCCATCATAGGTCCACGTGCCCAGCTTCATGCTGCAGTTCTGCTCATCAAAGGGAAAGTGGGTGACGATGATCTCACAGTAGCTTTTAAAGATGGCTGGAGGTGTCCACGTGACGTGGCCCGAGTAGTCCAGGAGCACTTTGGTGAACTTGACAATGGCGAAGTCACCATCTGCACTACACATGATATAAGAGGAAAATGGCTCCAAGTACCTTCCCTTCTGCTTGGAGATGTCAACAATATAGCTGTTAATTATTCAGGTGCTATTTATAAAACCTCTCTTTTGGGGAGTATTATCAAATCCATGGCAGTATTTCCCAAATTTGCATGGTATTGAGAATTGCTGAGGTGCTGGTTAAAAATACAGACTCCTGAGCACTGTCTAAGCCCCAGAGAGTAGGAGCATCTGGGGTGGAAAATGAGACTCTTACAGGTTTCAAGAAATAGCAGGTAACAAGGGTCCTCTCAGTTTTTCTTTTCTAGTCCTAGTGGTATTTGTAATGTTACCCTTTCCCAATATGCTCTGAGTGTTAGCTGGAGGAATCCAGGATTTGGAAATAAAACCACCTCCAGGGGCTCAGTACTATGACAAACAGACTATTGGAGGAGTCTTTTACCTTTTAAAGAACTGCTTAGAACTCAGAGGGTGGGGCCCCAAACTCAGGTGCCTCCTGAGCCAGACAGGTGAGGAAGGCACAAAGATGAGACTGAAGAGCACACAGGTACCACCATGCCCACCGCCCCAGAGATGTGGATTCTTGCTTAGGGGTTGGAGATCACAGTTTCTTTATTTAACTATTTCCTTTTTGTTTGTTTGGTAAATACTGGAGATCAGACTCAGGGCCTCATCATATTCAAGGCAAGTGTGCTACCAATGAGCCACCTCCCCAGCCTGAAAATTTCCAAATTTTTGAGGGCTGGACTTTTCTAGAGAGGCTAGAAATCTTGATTTTAATGTGATATTTCCTGATTTTCCAATGTATCTCAGTTTTTTAAATAGTACTAATAAGCTGCTTCCTTATTCAGTGGGCAGTTTACTCTTTTGGGAACAACCTGTGCTCCAGGGTCTTTGCAAAGAGCAGCACAGTTAGTAGGATCCGCATAGATTGTGGGCTGCAGCTCATGGTGGAGGGGGTGCTTGCTTAGCACACATACCGGCTGCTGAGCTCTGTCCCAGCACCACGAAAGAAAAAGATTAGAACAAGTGTGGAATCAGTAGATGGGGATTTCCTCTGTGGGATTTCAGGGACAAAATGGCTTATGTTGGTCCCTCCTATCAAAAACCAAGAGATGGTCTTCCTCTTTATTTTTCCTTGGGACAGAAGTTGGGCTCTTTGTCTGGCATGTAGTAGGCATCGGATGCTCCCCAAAATGCAAAAGGTCCTAGGATGGCCGACACCTCTCCCTATAAGCAGGGAAAGTGGGGTTCCTGCCCCACTGACGTGTTTCTGAGTGAGCCTGGCAGAGGGAGGAGAGGTCTTTAGTTGCTTCCCTCGGTGTCTTACTGAAAGAGGATTGTAACACAGACACTCCGCTCTATCAGCATACTTGCCCGTGTTTACACCGCTGGTTGGGTAATGCACTCAAGCTTGTATCCTGAGTGTAACTGGGCAGTCTATGATAGAAACTCAGAGTTGGCCAGGCGGCTGGCCAGGCTCTGGTTTCCGTCCCGCTGCTCCACCCCCAGTCGCTGGGAGGAGCATCCGCTCCCACACATGTATGATGTCAAACCATAAATCCTCTCTGCTGATGAGAACAAACGCTCCTGCCTGGAAAGGATGCTCTCTGAAATGAACACTGCCTGACAAATGAAGGGCATATGATAATGAACGTGTCATTAAACCAGAGTGTCTTGAATCTCATTATAATTTCACAACATGCAGTCTGTCACGGGGCCCAGTGCCTGGGCGACGGAGGTATCAGGACCATCAGTGTTGGGCTGGCCTTCAGGATGTGATGAATAGCACCCCCCACCCTCCCACCCCTGCAGACCTGTTTGCTATCAAGGACTTTTGATTCCAAGAACTCAGGGATAGGAAGTTTGGGTGCCTGTGGGTTAATACCACACATCCCCCAGGAGCCCTTGGCATCAAATGTCCCCCACCCACAGCCCTGACTCCATTTGGCTCAATAATTGTCTCTGTTCATGCCACAAGGCACCATATGGGCCCCTCCACCTGTCAGTGTGGCTCTGGGTTTTAAGAGTTATTTAAGGTTAACAGCAGCACCCCTCCCTGAGCCCCAGGCCCTCCCTGCCTGTCCCTCTGCTTACTTGTTATACAGAACAAGGTCAGGCCGCCAGATCTTTTCTGAGGGAATGTGGATTTTTTTCACACCGCCATAGTCATCTGGATTCCACTTGAGGTTGTAATCCACCCATTGCTAGAAAGGAAGACATTTAGCGAATTAAAAAGCCAAAAGTGTGGGGTTTTTTTTGTTTTTTTTTTTTTAATCTAGAGTGATCAAGAGCCCTGGTGGGCATGGTAAGTCAGTATCAGAAATGGTGCTTTGGTATTTAAGTTAAAATTAAGTCAGCAAGGTAGGCCCTAATCCATATAACTCTTGTCCTTGCAAAAGGGGACATTCACAGATGTGTGCGTGTCTGTCTCAAACAAGAAGAACGCCACGCGGACCTGAAGACTGCCATTGACAAGCCAAGGAGAAAGTTCTGGAACAGACACTGCCCTCACAGCCCTCAGAAGGAACTGACTCTGCTGACCCCTTGGCTTTGGACTTCCAGCCATGAGAGACTAACTTTCTGTTGTTTAAGCCACCCGGTTTATGGTACTTTGTTATGGCAACACTAGCAAAATAATATGCACAGAAAAAGCCCAAAGTGAAAAACAGAAACAAACTGGATCTATAGTCCTAAATACAGTATCTGCCACCAACATTTTGGTATGTATCCCTGTTACCCAGATTGATTTCCTCTGGGCCCAGGCTTAATTTCAGGTTGGATAAAGACAGCATCAGGCTGAATGTGGTAGCACACACCAGTAATCCCAGGACTCTGAGAGGATGAGGCAGGACCATGCAAGTTTGGACACAACCTGGGTAACTTAGAGCATGTCTCAAAATAAAAAGTATTTTTTAAAAGGGCTCGGGTTGTAATTCAGTGCAGAGGTCCTGGGTTCAATTACCAGTATGGAAAAAAAAAAAAGCAATTTCAGTATCTAGTTGAATTACCTGTTTCAGACGAACATTGGTTGTCACAATTTGATTCACTTCATCCTGAAAAATGAGAAGACCCCACCTTCAGGAAGTAGGAAGGAGAACCAAGGAGAGAGCTGGGGTGTGAGGGAAGGGGGTCCCCAAGTGCTGCTCACCACGTTGATGAGCTGTATGAGCTGCAGGCCCACTGTGACCTCCACTATCTGCCGGTGGTCCTCCACTGGCCGCACCACGCTGCTGTAGTTCTTAAATAGCTTTGCCACCAGACGAGTCTCATGTTCGGAGCCCAGGATGAGGCCAGCTGTGCAGCAAACGACACATCCCTGTCAGACTCTGCTTTCTTCTCTCCAGTCCCTCATAGGAGGAACTGAGGCAGAACCAGCTAATGGAAGGTGCTCAAGGCCTCTGTTTCATGGCTCTAGAGCGCAGCTTTTATTGTCTTAAGTTCCTTTCCAGGCAGTTGCTGCTCCCTTGCAGGCCCCCAGTGGGGACTTGGCTTTTGGACAGGAGAATTCCTTAAAAAATAGTACCTGGCTGAATCAAATTTGCCAGAAAACACATATGCATGTGCACATGCCCAGAAAGGTCCACAGGAAAGTCAGCGTCAGTATTATGAGTATTATAGAGTATGGTCATGATGTTACTAAATCTTGCATGGGCTGACCTCAGATCTCACAGTGCCACGAAGAGTAGAAACTAAATGCTGGTTTGCATACCCTGAGTGGACATAGTTAACCAAATGGAAAGTAACAAGTGCTGGTGAAGTTTTGGAGAGACTGAGATCTCAGGTCTGTTGCCAGTGGGAGTATAACAAGGCTGTTTCAGTTAGACAGAGTTACCATGCAACCCAGCATCTGCTCCTAGGTGCAGACCCAAAAGAATAACAGCGTATTTACAACACCCAAAAGGAAGAAACAACTCAAATGTCCATCAGCAGATTAGTGGATGAACAAATTGTGGTATATCCAAACAATGGAATATTATTTGGCCACAAAAAGGAATGAAATACTGACACATGCTACAACATGGATGAACCTTGAAAACATTATGCTAAGTGAAAAACCTAAACAAAAAGAGGCATGTATTGTATGATTCCATTTATGTGAGGTTTCCAGAATAGCTAAATCTATAGAGATTGAAAGATGAGTGGATTAGTGGTTGCTGGGAACTGGGAGGGGGAACAACTGCTTAATATGTTCGGAGTTTCCTTTTAGGTGATGAAAAAATGAAAAATTCTGGAACTCAGTAGTGGTAATAGTCATTTAATATAGTAAATGTACTTATTACCATGAACCATATACCTAAAAATGCTTAAAATGGTAACTTTTATGTAATTTTAATATAATTTTTTAAAAAATTACTGCTGGGGGTGAGGCATTTAACCCAGTGGTTCTGCCACTTGCCTTGCAAGCGCAAGGTCCCAAGTTCGATCCCCAGTACCAAGAATAAGATAAGATTTAAAAAAAATAAAATTAAAAAATCACTGCTAGTGGATCAATGTCTCCATCAAACTGTTTAAATAGGATGAAAACCCTGTGCTTTGTCAACCTGGGTTCAGGGCTCCTATTTGGAACATGCGTAATTGCAGGGAAGCTTGTGTACCTCTCCCTTTGGGACAAAGAGCTGTTTCCCTGAGTATAGCCTTCTCCACCCAGCCTGGTATGTGACTCTGCCCTGCTCAGGGAGGTGGGCCATTTGTCAAAGAAGGCTGTGCGTCTGGAAGACTGAATTCTGAATAGAACCCTGTCATTCTGAGCCATGCCCCTTACTATTACTCTTACTCTTACTGTTACACGTGCGGCACCGGCTCTCATGGAGCCCACAACTGTGTGTGCCTTGATTCCTCGAGAAAATGGGTTCCACATTCCAATGAGTGCCTGCTGAGAGTCTTTGTAACTCAAGCCTAAGCTCACACCATCGGAGAAGTAGACAGCAGCCCATCTGCCCAGATTCGTGTAACCTAACCTCCCCTTTCAACAGGCTAAGCAGAGGCTGACTTCTCCATGGGCCAGGAAAACTCTAAATGTTGAATGAATGAGGTACTTTCTCTTTTTTGCCCAGTAGTGTTAACTGACCACCTCTAAGACAGGTTATCATTTTTCTCAATAACTTTTCTCCTTTGGTCCTAAGTTTGGAAGGTTATAAACAAGATTAATTATCTTTTCTATTTTTAGTCAATTAAAATAGTTGTCAGCACAATGACACAACTTGTATGCCAGATACCTTTATTTCTTTTTGCTTTTATGAGAGAGAGAAAGAGACAGACAGATGGACAGACAGGATTAAACCTAGGGCCTTTGCATTATTTTTCGATTTTGAGTCACAGCTTTGCTAAATTGTGCGCACTGGGCTGGAACTCATAATCTTCCTTCCTCAGCCTCCACAGTGCTGGGATTACAGGTGTACAACAGATATTCTCATAGTATTTTATATATGTGCACTCAATCCTCACAACTGTGTGAGATAAATACTAATTTTGTCCCTATTTTACAGAGGAGAAAACTTGAGAGTCAGATAGTTGAGCGATGCATTCATGGTCCCTCTGCCATTTGGAGATGGGGTTACAAACAGGCAGTTTACCTGCTCCTTAAACGTAAATATCTTATTTACAGTCAGATTTTGGAAGTTTTCAACCTTTAAATATCTTTGTTTTCACCCTCATGGACTCTGGCATGGTTTAGATCTGAGATGCCCCCTAAAGGCCCATGGGTTCCGAGGTGGGGCCTTGGAAACGACTGGGTCATGAGGCACCAACATCATTAACCCACTGCAGAGTTCGGAGCTGAATGTGTTCTGAATAGGCAGTGGGGGCCTCACTGAAGGGGGTGGTCATGGGGCTGCCCCTGGGGACTACATGGTGTCCCTGGCCCCTCCCTGGGCTTTTTCCTGTCTCTCTCCTCTCTGGCCACTAGAAGGTGATCTGCTTTGCTCCATCCCATGTTCTCTGCCGTGAAGTTTGGCTTCACCATGGGCCCAGGAACAATGGAACCAAGTGACCATGCACTAATCTCCAAAACCATGAGCCAAAATAAACCTTTGCTCCTTTAAGTTGCTTTTTCCAGGAATTTAGTCATAGAAACAAAAAGCTGAGGAACACAGACTGTGTAGGAAACTCTTGACCTCACCCAACTCTTCAGTTCTGGTTGTCCAAGTTTTCTGAACCCCAAAGCTGCCTAGGACACCAAAGGTGCCCGACCATGCAGAGCTTTCACAGGACACCTCCCCAAGCCACCCCACATTCCTGTGATTTGGTCCTTCAAGGTTTGGTTTGGTCCTTCAAGGGAGTGTGTTGTTAAAGACCCAGTGTTGGGGGTGCTCCACTAAACCCTTATGCCACATCTGTCCTGTTCTCCCCACCTTGCCCATCCCCGGCTATATCACCATGGGGACTGGGCCTGGTGAGGACCACTGAGTGCTCTGACTATTGTTCTGGCATTGACCTGGGCTGTGTATTTTAAAAGACTGTTTATTCCACTTTGATAGGAAGAACATACCAGAAAGCAATGGATAGCGCAGATAGTCAGAATTATGTTGCAGAAAAACTATTTGAAAACTATCCGGCCAAGCTATGGTCCACTAAGGAAAAGGGGGTATCAGGGGAGCAAGAATGTCAGCATCATAGTGACATTTACCTCCTCCTGTCCCACCTAACCAATGACAAGATGCCTTGTTGCTCCCATAAGGAATTTCCAAATAGGTCTCCTCTCCTTCCCTTCCCTTCCCTTTCCTTTCTCTCTTTTTCTATTCTTTTCTTTCAGTACTGGGGGATTAAACCCAGGAACACTCTACTGCTGAGCTACACCTCCAGCCTTTTTTTTTTTTTTTTTAGACAGAGGCATACTAGTTTGCTCATGTAGGACTTGAATTTGTAATCCTCCTGCCTCAGCCTACCTGAGCGCCAGAAGTACCGCTAGGCACCACCACACTTAGCTATGAGTCTCTGTCTCCATTCCTTAGGTTGGTTTCATTGGTGCAGGCTAAGGGGATAGAAAACGTACAGGACTGGAAGTCAGAGTCTATGATTTCCTCTCCAACTCCAATATGGTCTGGAGAGTTGGGCCACTTCTTCATGGATTCAGTGAAGCATAGTAACTTTCATAAAAAAGGCCAGGTGAAAATAAACAGATAAAAAAACATATCAAAGTTTCCCCCTTTCGCAAAATTGTATTGGTAATCTTTATTCAGATGGTAACATCATTCATCAAATATTTGTTGAGTGTTTGCTGAATGTAGATATGGTTTAAGGAGCTTTGAGATATTTGAAGGCAAATCTGGTATGAATCCTGTCTCTACCCTCCCAGAGATTAACATTTGTCATTTGCATAAATAACTGTGAACAAATTGGAAAGTAATATGCAGTGAAGTACTTAGGACTCCGGAGGCGGAAGAGAGGAAAAGGTTGGAATGAAAGGTGCTATATAAATAGAGTGAGGAAGGTAATGTGTTAAGCTAACACAAGAAAAAGTGTATCTGAAATGAAAGAATTTTGCCCGTGGAGAACTCATTCTAACTAGGGGAATTCAACCACAGTTTCAAAGTGTACTTTTTGTACCATACTGGTTCAGTCTATATTTTTATGTAGGAAAGAGCCACCTGTGTTGGAAAAAGGAAATTTGAAATGTTAATAGCTACCTTGGGTAATTCTTATCTCAGCCTGATGTTGTATCTCTTGCTGCTTTGGCAATTTCAGGCTTTCTGACGATGTATGTAACAAACCAAGCCTCCAGTTGATCACAATCCAAAATTTATAAATAAAATGACCTGGGCAGGTCATTTCATGTCTTTAAACCCCAGGGTCCTTACAGTGAAATACTGAGCATGTTTGGTCTGGATCTAAACTCCCATGAGCCACTCCTGGGAATCAGTGCCAGCAAACACAAGGTTTGATCAAAATGCATGTCATATACTTCTTTTAATAGATAAATATGCATTTTTAGAAGTCTTTGGTATCCAAAGAGACCCCCTAAGTATATATATAGATGCATATAACCGAAGGATTTTCAGTGAGCATGGCATTTGCAAACACACACACACACAAATGCATGCACACACGTGCATGGACACACGCATGCGCACACACAAGCACATACCAGGCTAGCTTTGGTTGGATCAAGTCCAATCTCACAGGATATACCTTATCTGAGTTTATCCTATTTCCCTCAACTTTATTATTGAAGAAAATTAATAATGCAGCTCTTTACCTCTTGCCAGAAGGCTTGTGATTGTCAGAACACTATGAGAGAAGCAAAATCACAGGATGTCTGCTACCTTGTTTCTCAGCTGGGATGACATCACCAGTAAACTTTTCCACAGAGCAATCCGCAAACATCTCCTGTTTCCCTCTACTGGAAGTTTGGGATTCAGGATAGTGTTTCAGTTGCTGTACGTGACACATTCCAGAGCAGAGTGCAGCACCCAGGCTGCGCAAGTTTTTATAGTTTCAGTTCAAACCCACACCTATATATAGTAACACCCTTTTAAAAGGAAGTAGGCAAGAATGCATTCAGATGGACTTTGTTTTAACTTCAGGAGTTTAAAAAAAAATCTACAAACTATTTCATCTCCATGGAATTTAGTTATAGTTATTAACAAGTTTCTCTTTCCACCACTTGTAGCTGTCCATCAATCCTCTTCTTTATCTGAACTCATGTGTTCTCAGCGAAAAGCCTTGTTAACTCGATTACTTGTATTGTAAGTTTCTGCTCCAAGTCCCTCGTTGTTCAGGTATGAAAGCCACCCAGGGCGCTACCATGGTCCAGCAAGGGACCAGATTCCACTCATGCGGCTGAGGTGGACACCAGGCATGGACATATCTGAGCGTCTACCTTGTGGCCTTTGACCAGGCAGCTCCCACGTTAAGTGGGTGACACAAAATAGAAATCTTTGTTCAAAAACCCAGTCAAGCCAACATCAGGAAGAAACTGGCAGGGTAGCCTCTGACTAGCGAGACCCTGCCGTTCTGTGTTCCCATCAAAGAGGCTAGATTGGCCTGAGGGTCTCACTTACCAGAGCAGAGGCCGAGCAGCAGGAGGAGAGGCTGGGCCTCCATGAGCTGTGGGTGCTGTGGGGACCCGGAGCAGCGTGGCGGCCTGTGTGACTCCCTGGTGCTCTCTGGCTGGACACTTGGCTGCTAGGGGTTGTGGGAAGCAAGAGGAGTCAGTGGAGCTATTGTCTTTCACCACCTGTTAGCGGCTGTGACAGCTGAGCTGTCCCTACCCTGGAGCCCAGGAAGCTGCTTGGGCCTGCTGATCCAGGTGTGTCTCACTTTACAGGCCCTGTGCTTTTGACAGTGAATGTGATCTGGGTTATATTTTGAGGGTATCACAAGCCAGTATTTTTTGTGGTGGTTGTTTTTGTGGTGTTGGGGATCAAACCCAGAGCCCCACACCCTAAATATGCATTCTACAAGTGAGGTACAACCTTGGCTCCATCAGCAACTTTTAATGAACTGATCTACAGGAAAGAAATCTTTGAAGCTAGGCATAGTGATGCACACCTCTAATCCCAGGACACTGGGAAGCTGGGGCAAGGGGATTGTAAGTTCGAGCCCAGCCGGAGCAACTTAGTGAGATTCTTCCTCAAAGTGGGTGGGGGGAATGGTGGGAGCTGGGGATGTGGCTCAAGGCCAAGGCCCTAATTTCAATTCCCAGAGTGCAAAAAATTTTTTGTTTCTTCTGAATGGTGAGCAGCCTTCACCCTTTTGTGTAAACCAGAACCACATGGATGTGTGCTGATTCTGTTAGGTCTTTTGGGCTGAGTAGACACCAGCTGCTTGTGCAATCCTCATAGGTCACACAAGTCCAGTCTCTAGACAGCCAGGTGCCTCTCCTCTGATTCGGGGTGTGCTGAGTGCCTGGAGTTCTGTGTCTGCATAAGCTTGAGACGTTGAATCTTCTACTGGAGGCTTCTCCATATTTGATTGTGTTTGGCTTTTAACACAGCTTCTTCCATAAAACTGGCCTCAGGGGCCCTGGAGTGGCTGTTCCAAGGCCTGGCCCTGTATTGGGCAGTGCACACCCCACATGAGCCATCAGCCAGGGCAAACTGCCATCCCCCGTGTACCTTATTCAGCGGAGAGTAATTGTGGGGAAAGTTCCCACTGTGGCTGCACTTGTTTCCAGTTCCTGCTTACTTCCGCCCATTCTCTGCCTACTCTCCCTGGGGGAGGCCAGGAGCATAGTGGTTCAGCTTTTCAAATCCTTTGTTTAAAAAATTCCTGAAAACCAGCAATTTGTAATTGCTCAGTGAAGTATTTTGACCAAACTGAGCTTGTGGTGGGTTCTAGAAGGAAGTAGTTATGTAAAGACCCCCTGCTTGCTCCTTCCCTGCCTCCTTCACAGACTGAGTCAGGTGAGAATCTCTCACCTTCAGCCCAAGGACAAGGACCCCCCAGATTGCCCTGGGCCAGGGGATCCAAGCCAAAAATTACAGAAGGGCCTTGCAGAGTAGCTGCAAAAGTTGCAAGGTCACATTTATGTCTTTCCATTTAAATTGCAGATGTGCTAACTGTCCACTAAAACATTGGTTCTCTGCCTTCCAGAGCACATTTACGTGACAATTAGCCAGGAAATATTGATCCCATGCCCACCCCCGCCAGTGGGAGGTGCGACTGAGCTCTAGTCAGTGAGGCATGAAGGCCAACCAACCTCAGACCAGGATCATCCACTCCCTGATGGCCTTGGGGAGGGGGCTGGAATGGATAAGACCCCCAGGGCCACCTCGGAAACCATGTTCTGAAGATGGCTCTGTGTGGGACATCCTGGGACCTCGAGTGAGTTTGTGGAGGAGCCACCCCACTAACCCAGTACTGCTTCATAAGTGAGAGCAAAATTTATTGCATGAAGCCATTGAAATGGTGGGGTTTTTGTAAAGCACCTAATGTTATGATTCATATAAAAGTCAGGCCCTTGTACACTGGGGTCCTGTGATTAAAAATAAACTCTAAAATACATAGCTTTTGCAGGGGAAGGCAAACAAAATTAATATTGGAGACTGAAAAGATGATGGCCCTGGTTCTTTAGTAGTGAATTGTTTAATAAAATATTGTACTCGATCACTTGGTGAGCCAAGTGTTTCCTGGGGCTGTGGCATTAGGAGAAAGGCTGGGAGACACAAAGTTGGTGCTCACTGATTCTTACTGCTTTATTTGGCAAGTTAGTTTGAGAAAGAGCTGAATGAAAAGGAACTGAATGAAGCCTGGAGCCTTCTGCTTTAAGCTCAAAGAGTAAGTGATAACATAGGGAAAAAATGGCTTGGAGCAAAAAAAAAAAGCCCATTTAAAACATTCCAGTAAATACATAGTCTCCCCCTCCCAGAAAAGATCAGATTGTGGGTGTGGGTGCCTTCTTCCACCCACTCCTGGTTTCTTCACGTGGCTTCCGGATGGCTTCTGTTTAGGGGAAAGAAAGAGGCATAGAACTTAAGGCACAAAAATATAAATCTGTGTAGCAAGAGCCCTGTGTATGCACAGGGGCACAGGGAAAGGACTGGAAACAAAGCAGGTCAGAAAATCTGCAGTCTCCCAAGGAAATCACTGTCCCTTTACCACTTGAGATGCGACCAAGGTGGAGGAAAAGGGTCAGGAAGGAGCCTCCCAGCGGGGCTAGACAGGAACCGCAAGAGCAGAGTCCCTTCCAGAAAGCAAACTTCCAAATCAAAGCGTCTGTTGCAGACCCTCCTGGTGCCCACCAGGTCCCCTTGGTGGCCACCTCTTCTCTGAGAATCATGCTGAGTGTCGACACCTGCTTCCTTCTCGCGCCTAGGGATACCCCCCCACCCTTGCAGGAACGTATGAGACAAGCTGGAAATGCAGGAAATGTTTGCCTCTGGAAACAGCCCTCTACCAGTGTCTCCAGATGGATACCCTGGCTTCCTTCCTCTCCTTTCAGCATCAGCTTCTGGGGACCTCAGAGCAAGACAATTTCTCCCACTGCCTGGGCAGAGGGTCTGCGTAGTGATGTCAGCAGGGATTTTTCCATATTTCCACCATCTTACTTAATCTTATCTCTAGGTGAACAGATGAAACTGTAGACATTAAAATAAATAAATAAAATTGGTTTTATCCTCAGAAGTAAGCCTGTTTTTTCATTTGAAGTTTATTTAGAAAAAATTAGAAAAACAGATGATCAAAAAGAAATATATTTAGCATTGTCATCTTACCCAGAAATATCCATGCTCGGTGGTTTAGTTTATACCCTTTCAGATCCTTTCAATGCATTCATTAAAACTTAAATTTCTTTGGGTTTCACCGGTTCAAGCCCCTCTCCAAGCATTTGGGATGCATCAATAAACAAAACAAAACAAAACAATGCAACGATTCCCCTTCCTCAGAAGAAAGGCATTCTAACTGAAGTCAGATGGCCAAATACATACATTGTTACATAATATATGTAAAATGGGCAAATTGTTTCATATTTGATCAGGTGAAAACACTACAGAAGAAAGACGAAGAGGCATGGGGCTGAGAGGATCGGGAATCCTGGGGTTGCACTTTTAACCCCCGTGGGAAGAGCAGGCTTCACTGAACTCCGGACGTTTGAGTAAAGCTTGGAAGGAGGTGCAGTATCTGTCGGGTACACGTTCAGGCAGACGGAACCCACAGATGGTCCCTGGGAGGCGGGGCTGGGCAGCTGGTAGAGGAGGTCAGAGAGCCGCCCAGGAAGAGCAAACATGAAAACGCTCGGAAGAGGAGGATGCAGCGCGGAAGCCCTGGGAGGAGGAGATGCTGAGGCAGGAGCTCCTTGAGGGACGGCTCCGGCAGGGCAGGGAAGGACTGAGCCAGGGCGGAGTGAGCGGTCAGCTGGTTCAATGCTGCTGATGGGCCCCATGCCACCGGGACAGAAATGACCATGGAGACTCTCGATGCAGAGGCCATGATGACCTTGACATTCACCAAACCTACTGAATGGGGGTTTTGTTGTTGTTTTTCTTTTTCTTTTGTTTTTATTTTGTTTTGCAGTACTGGAAACTGAACCAAGGGTCTTCCCACTGAGCTACATCCGAAGCCCACTTATTCTTATTTTTATTAGATCTTAACTTTCATTTTTAAAAATTACCTTTTTTTTTTTGGTACCAGGATCGATATCAGGAACTTGTGCTTGCCAGGCAAGTTGGGGGACCACTGAGCTAAGTCTCCAGCCCTCTCTTTTTATTAGTACATTTCTGCAGTGCATACTGCAAAATTCATATACCACATCTTAATTCTTTTTATGCCCCCTTCCCTTCCCCCCTCCCTTCATCTTTTGATTGCTTATTTTGAGATGAGGTCTGGCTAAGTTGCCCAGGCTGGACTCAAATTTGCAATCCTCTGCTTCAGCCTGTGCTGCCATGCCTGGTTCATTATTTGAAAATCCTACTCCAAGCCAGAGTGTGGCATGCACCTGTAATCCCTGCACTCTAAGAGGTTGAGGTCAGGGCATTGTCAATTCAAGCCCAGCCAGGACCACACAGCAAGATTCTGTCACAAAACAAGAATGATGGAATTAGAGGGGATTTATTGCAAAGAATGACAAAGAAATAAAGTAGTAGAGGGAGTGGGGGTAGAGTGGAAATAATTTTGGGGGGTTGGGGATGTGCCTCAGATGTAGGATGGTTGCCTAGATTGTACGAGGCCTTGGTTGTGAGCCCCAGTACCGCCCAGAAAAAAGAATATTTTTGTTTTGTGCCCATTTTCTTGGATGAGAGAAATAACAGCATAATTTATATGATGGTCATAATGACCCAACAGTAATGATTTAAAAACTTGATTATGTAGGAGCACAAAGAAAACACCCATAAAATTTTTTTAAATGAGATATACTGTATATACCTTTCTAAAATTTACAAAACATATAATAAATATGCTCCTAGTCAATAATGTGCTCCACTTTCTTTTTAATGCTGCAGGATATTTTATTTTTTTAGTTTACTATAATTTGTTCAACCAATTCCTTATCGTAGGACCCTTCAGCAATTTGTTTGATTGTTTTTTGATTTTTTTATGAACAATCATACAGTGGACAGTCTTTGTTTTGAAACTTTATTATTTTATTAGCACATATTTGTCATACTAATTGATCACATTCATCATAGAG